CTTCGCGTTATGGATTGCGAAAAAAAGAAATTCAAAGCGTGCACCTGATTTGTAATGTAAAGGGGAAAAAAGAATTTGCTGCAGATGTACGTAGGTGCCTACTATCATACAGAATAATTAGAAAGCAAAGATACCAATTTTTCCTAACATGCTCGCCACGAGAGCGTTTTTTACATTACACGCGCGCGCGTGCCTGAAACGAATTTTTATGCAAAATTTAAAAAGAATGGATGGATTGAGTCATTGTACGACAGAGGTGTTCATACACATAATATCATATATATATATATATGGATAGACGCGTGTATGTGTATCATTTATCGCGTTTAGATTCGAATTTCTAGTACAACTTCATTTGAAATTCTTCGCAGTAGCTTTCGTATAACAGTAGCTTTTAATTATACCGAATCTTGAACGATTTGTGTTCATTCTTACAGACATGACTAATTTTCATCTCAGATAATAGTGAATACTTTACGCGATACGAGGAGTCATCAATTTTTATAAGATATAATATAAATTTGATATAAGTTCGTTGTGGCAATAATAGATATTTCTCTATTGTACTGCCATGGCTTCACGCTACAGAACGGTAAAAGATACGATACGAGGTATGCTATTTATTTTTTCTAGCTATACGGGAGACGGTTACTTTAGATTATCTAATTATAAACCGAAGGAATCATAGAGAGTCTAAAGTATCCTGATAATTTGGATTAACTGTGATTCTTTGATGATTTTCGTGCTTCCACGTTATTTGGAAAGCACGATGCATTTCCTTACCGGCATTAGTAACAGAAAAATATATTACAAAGGCACGTACACCTGTGAGTCTTCTAGTGTAAATAACAAGGAAAAGTTAAAAGAATGCGAGAATAGATAATTACGTCAAACGTCACTGCTTCAACGGTTCAGTAATCGATAAAAATCATTACGCGCACAAGACTGAAGAATTGTGTAGAACATCAACAAGAACAACAACAAGAAAAAAGGAATACATGTTAAGTTGAACTATTAACTATCTCATAGCGCTGATTAATTATGAGACGAATCAGTACAAAGAAATAAATGAAATTGTTTAAAATGTAATAGGTGCGAAGATATAATTGCAATATTGATCTCAGCTAATATAATTCTATTTGTTATTGCGTGCACCAAGAGAACGATTGCCTTTTTATATATATATATATAAATATAAATATAAATATATATACATAACGCAATTGATATAAGTTTTTCATTGCGAGAGAGCGAGAGCGAGAGCGAGATGCTTGAAACTGAGAAAAAAAGAAACACAGAAAAAAGAAACGAAGTGGATCGTTGAAGCAAAATTATTCGAGTAATATATTATGTAAATATGATTTGTTTTCTAGTAGTTATACACACTTTTGTCCGAGAAAGGCGCACATACCGTTACTTGTACCATACATTTGCCGCGCACCTCACAATTGTAAAAAAATTTTTAGCTGCGTGTTCCTCTTTGCAGTGATCGCATCGTTTTTTACGAACTCGATGAGAAATGGAAAAGAAAATATGAAAATTTTCGAAGTTAGGTAATAATGTTCTCCTTACTGCCATTAAAATGGAAATTATTAATATAAATATATAAATAGAGGAATGTAAAGAAACAAAAAAAAAATAATTAAAAGTACATAGCAGTTTTGGTACAGTATCATATTTTTACAAATTGTAATTCGATAAGTCATAATCGAGAGATAATAAAACACAAGAATAAGGTTCACCAAAGAATAGCCCGAATTTTTTATTCTTAGGCTTCTAATTGTTTTCACATTCTTCCAACAAATAAAGGAATTCATTAAACATTTCTGTTTTGCCTTGTAGTACAATACTATAATTTTAATAACTGAAAGTTGTCTAGTTTTAATGTTCGTCAAAATTAAAACTACGACATCGCCATGGTTATCCTGCGAAGATTATGAAAATGTTACTCTTTAATTATTTGACCAGGACTTATTTAATTCGACGTGTGCAGCGTTTATAAAATTGCAGCGATTGTAACTTAGCAAAGGGGTAAAAATGTCGCTCGTTCAGCGAAGTGCAGACAATAGAAGCTGCGTTCCAGCGTATCCTCGAATTTCAAGCTCGTCTTCTATGTTGACGCCAAGGGCTACTTGCGTCGTGTATTGAAGGACCTGGGTCTGAGGCGGCCCGCAGGCGATCCAGAAATGGAATATAATCAAGCCGCAGTGTGACAGAGACGGAGAACGCTTCGCCGCGCCGCAGAGGCGGATGGTAAAATGTGCAATACCTGGGATGGATAGAATGAAGAAAGAAAAGTTGGACCGCGTCGTGAGACAAAGAAAAAGCGAGGGGTAGTTTGCGAAGGAAACTGTGAAGAGGGTGGTAGAAAAATAGAATTTTCGGGGAGCAAAAACAGAAGCAGGATCATAGAAGAGAGAGCATGAACAGAGTAAACTAGGATAGCCGAGAGGAGTTACAAAAAAGGAGAGAGGGTTGTAAAGATAATAACGGAAACAATAAGTTAAAATGGATGAAAGGATAAAAGCGGGCAGGAAAATAGAAATAGGAAGAGAATGTGGATCGCGAGGAAGAGGAGAGAGAGGATCGGAGCTCTCTTCGCTCGGCAGGTTCGAGGGATGACAGCCCGCGGCCCGTACTACCCCCGGGGCGTCGCGGATATTGAGTTCACAGTAACCATGGAAACGGGGCCCGAGGCAATGACGTTTGTGCGCTTTATCCCTTATTCCCGCGGTTACGTGATCAACGCGGTTCCGAGCTCTTTTCCTCTCTCTCTCTCTCTCTCCTGCTTCTACATCGTTCCTCTTCTTTTCCTTCCTTATTTTTATCTAGTATCACGAATCTATTGTTAGACTTATAAGTCTGGATTTCACCATTGTTCTCCTGCCTGTGCCTTATTAATTATCAGATGAGATTTCCTCTTTTCATACCTTTTCATGGACCAAAGTAATATTTATCTATCTTCGGAGACTTGAAGAGACTCCATTATAAAATAGGGAAGGGTATCCGTCATTCGAAGTGGAAATTTAAAGTGAACGTCGACATCATTTAGCATGTGTTTTATACAATTTTTTATTGGCATGCTTTTTGTTCTCTGTTGCATTGAAGAATTACCGATCGAAAGTCATTAGAGCGGAAGGTCAGCGCGTAGAATGCACGAGCTGCTCTCGATCGGATGGAAATCGTGGATATCGCGTAACGAGCTTCGAGCTCTGCACAATTTCTGTACCATGAAAACTGCATTGTTCGGCTAATGATTTTATTTCCATTTCGTTGCACTGCCATTAGTTTTTCACTCTCTGGAGATAGAATACCCACGTATTCGTGATTTTTCATTCTCGACGCACCCTCTAACTAGTTATTAATTTATCAGAATGACGAAAAGGATATTTTCTATCTACTGTGAAGTAAATCCCAAACGAATGACTTGTTTTAAATAGTAAAATAGTATTTCGTTTCTTTTCTACAGTGCTCTGTATCGAGAACAATCCATATTTAAAAAAAAAACTATTTTATTTTATCTTCAATCTGTTCTAATTTAATAATTAGGAACACAGGTGAGATGAGATCAAGTCATTAAATGTTTCTTCTTTAGGTGATTCAAGTACATAGAATATTCGTGTTTATCTGTATAGATATTAGATACATTTATTCGCGGTATTTACAGTAATTAGTATGGCATTTAAATACATTACACATAGGTACAGTTTATTAAATAAGAGCAAAGTAAAGGAGTTACGACGTATACTTATACGTAAGTGGGTCACGACCGTGTATGATGATACCGTTCGACGAAACATAACAGCTATGGTTTTAAAGTTGAGTTTTGTTAAGGACACTGAAACGATTCTAATGGCGATGCTCGTAATTACAAGTCAGGTTCAGTTCTAACAATATGTTCAGTCGAACTCTTTCGTAACATAAACTTCTTTAACTCAAGGCACTCGATTCGTGAAGCTCTGATTTGTGGAATAAAACTCAGCGTAAATTAAATACTAATTTATTTTTTAATCAATCTCCACGAATAAATCATTTAACACCTACGATTAAAACATTCTTTAACTAACGTCCCTCGTGAATATAATATATACTTTACAGCTGTGTGTGTGGTCTCAAGGAGAAAAACGAAACTCGATATATCACAGAGTACAGAACGATTACGAAAGTCCTTCCTATCAAAACGATTCAAAAGCGAAACCTTCAGTAGTCTCATCGCAAATAATCGCCCTTTCTACTTTTGAATGCAGTTTAAAAATCTCTCCCGTAAGCCCGGGGCCCGACGGCCCCTCCGAACGAAGAATCAATGCACGCGACACCCCTACACCGCTCTGTTCGTCAGAACAGTCATCATCATTCGTGATGCAGTCTTGAAGATTTCTCCTGGACCTTTTACTCGGTCGGGCCATGGAGGCAACGAACCGTCCTCAAGCAGGTCTTACGCTGGTGCGCCGTAATCCGTCAAGTGTTGACGGCCTGTCGAACGAACAGGTACTCCGAGAATTGCTGACCTTCGACACCGCCTCCGTTGCTGGCCACCACGCGAAATCCCGCGTTTAAGAGCCTAGTGATCGCCTGTACCGAGTTCAGCTTGCAGTAGCCGTTCAACGGGAATCTAATCACATGGCGGGCGTCCTGCTGGTGCCAGGCGACTCCTGAACGAGCGTCGATCACCGCCTGCGTCGTCTCCGGGAACACCTCGTCAAGCAATGCCCGGCCACCCGAGAGCATCACCCTCTCGCCTAGATCCGGGCTCACGTGAAGGGCCACGCATTCGTAGCTGCAGTTACCCTCGTTCGTCCGCATCTTGTCCGAGTCTCGGTTGCAGGGCACCGTCGTACAACCTGTGCCGCGGGTTTCTAACTGATTCGTCGGAGGTAGGCTCGGCGACGAGGAGGACATCGTGGTCATTGTCCTTGCACCGTTCTTTATGCGCTCCTTTTTCATCTGCTCCAACTGCTTGCACATAGCTGCGACACAAAACCCGAAGATGATTACTACGTGAATAAATGTATAAAAGAAAATAAAAAAGAAAGACACAGCAGGAAAAGGTAAATATGTGTGTACAGATATTTTATGTTAAGTATGAAAATAATTATACAAGAATGAATTTTAAGAAGACTGTAAAAGAACGGAAAGGAAGAACGTTCTGTTCATGTCGAAAAACCGATTTCTTGAATATTAATTGATATATTATCGAGCTTCTGTTTGCCTTTCTCTCATGCAACGAAAACGGAGACGTGATCACGATCGACCGATACAGCGAGTTTCGTGAGACTCATCGGCTTTCGCCGTCCATCAAGATATCGACGGATTTTAATGCAACATTATGCGAACTTTGCTCGCTGCCTGTCTTAGCGGTTAATGACAGGAAAAATGATTCGACGGGAGATCCTACTGTACAGATAACATGATTTATGTGAACGATCATTTCTCGTCTTCCGTCTATCTCAAAAGGCAGACGAGCAAACAGTAACGGACTTGTAAGATTGAACAGAGCTAAGTAGTTTCTCCTGTTAAAGATTCATACTTATCGGTTATGATAAACGATAGGAGTGAAATGAAATAGTTAACGCATAAGAGGATGCTCTTACGTGCGATGTCAAAGTATCGGGCCTCTTCTAACAACAGATCCAGGTCGGCGAAATTCTCCGGTATCAACAGCCGAGAGTTCCTCATAAAATTCAGGATGTGTCTGAACATACCGCCGTCTCTGTCGATGAAGTAATGCTGTTTCAGAGAATCGAGTACGATGGGGATGCTGCCGTTGAACAATTTCGCTAGTCTCGACTCCGGATACCTGAAATCCAGAACGATACTTTCTTCATATGACAGGATACATTCAACGTTCCGTCTAAAGCGCGTTTCCCACTGGCCGCCGACGCCGGCACGGACAGGCAGGGCCGAAACGTTAAGTTGCGAGGTATAGGAAAGAGCGTGTAAAAGCTGAAACTTAACGTTGCGGCCCTGCCTGTCCGTGTCGCCGAAACGGCGCCGCCGGCCAGTGGGAAACGCGCTTAATTTCCTACGTATAAAAATACATATATAAAACGCAGCCTAATTTATCTTTTTCAATATCTGTAGACAAATGAAATTGAATCTGTGAATTTGTTTCCCACGGTTCACAATTTCTCTTGTGTACACACGCCCGCGGTGCATTTCCCATCGTTTTTAAATCTCGTTGATCGATTCCATTGATAAAACGTTAAACGGTCGGTCGCATTACGCGTTCAGCGACATACATATAAATTACGGTTTCGCGTTGACGAGGCCTCGTTGAGACGAGGCAGGTGCCGAAATTTCGGTCACCTGCCGAAATCGCTCGGAGTTAAACGTGTAGCGCCGCGTCCGAGGGAGCCGCAGATGTGCAACCGAAATTCTTTTCGCCTCCCTCGGTTCATTTTAACTGGCGATCCGACGCGCCCCGGATCGATTAACGTCACGTCGTAAACGTGCATTTCGTCATGCCACGACGCGCCGCTAACTAAAGGCTATATGCCGACTCACTGTCATTTTGTATCAATGAAAACTTAATGGAAATTGTTTCAAGGGAAATGTTTAAAGTGGCGGTTTCGGTAAGGACATGCGTCGTAAGCTCGGCGGCAACTGTGTGACGAAAATGTTGTATCAAAATACTTGAACTACGGCTTTTGATCAGATTCTATATTCAATTCTATTTGCAGAATAAACTCATTAATGATAAGTCAAAAAACAAAGAGCAACTATTAAAATATTCTTGTTTATTGCGGGCACGATCGCTCAATCTCAAGGCTCGATTATCGTGATCGGGTATCACGCTTTTTAACGCCGGGGGGGGAGTAGACGCGGCTATTATTTTCGTGAAAGCTGCCTTCTGGACCATCCGGGAAAAAGGGCGGACGCGGGAGGGATCGAGAGAAACTCGAATGGAAGGCGAGAGAAAATAAAAAGGAAGAGGGATTAAGAAGGCTGGGGATCCGTAGGCGCGATGTAGACTGGACGTTGTCGAATCGTGCCACCTTTTCCGGCACTTTAGAAAGCGTCTGTCACAATATCAAACGCGTTTCGGATCAAATCTGATAGTGTTTCAAATAAATAACATTTCTTGAAAAAACTTGAAATCATGACACTGTTCTTATACAGTGTAAAAATTTGTCTTCCGCAGAAAATACTTTCTTGATTAAGATTAGAACTACCGATTTTTTTTTATACATAAAGTTCTCCATTCAAAATTCTCCAGTCTCTTTGACTGGTTTCGTAGTTGCAATGTTAAAAACAGAATAGTATAGATCAAAGTCAATAAATATTTGCCTTCATCCCTGACACAAATGGAAATGTGCAACAGACGAGTTTTTTTTAGTGTAATTGGAGTTAACAGCGAGTAGAGATGAATGCATTACGGAAATCTGAGGCAAGACATGATTACTCCGTGTTGCGAGTACTATGCACACTGGATAATAAAGTTCATGTTGCAAATGATTAATAAATATGCGCGTATTAAGTAATTCCCTAACCGCTTATAACTACAATTCATATGTTTGTACACAGCGAGTGTAATAAAGTTTAATCTCGACTTCGAGTGTGGTCCCGCTCTATAAGATCAAGTATTACTAAATACAAATTGCGCTAATATCTCAACGCTTTGCGTCTGACACTACATTAAAGCAACGTATCCCTCATTTTAGATAGTTGCAGTTGGCCTGCTGCTGAAGAATGGTTCTTGTTGAATTTATCATACTTAATGACGACATTACCGAGCTATTGGATTAATCTCGTTTCATAGAAAATAGAATTAATAACAAATGATCCTAACCCCTTGTAACCCCCGCGAAATCGCTAGAGCACCGACTTCAATACATTTTTTGATAGCGGTCAGCACATTCGCGGCCGAAGGTCGTCGCAATTTAGCATATAATAGACGTGTGCTCTGGAAAAAGGACAAGACAGAAAGAGAGCGTTAAAAGACGAAGGCCGCTAGGGAGAGCACGAACCGAGTGAGACAGCGAAAAAAGAGAACAAGATGAGAGAGAGAGCCACGGTTCTTCGTGTACCTCGATGGTGCGTTATGGCACAACGAGGGGGAAATACCGACGTAGGTATCCGGTGCCCCCTCGGGCCGGTTCCCATACCTTCCACGGCGATAACATATAATAACGACGGCCCGGTGGAACCCCGTGGGCGATCTGACTTCAACGGGGAAGAGAGAAAGGGGAGATGTACCGCGGGGTAGGTACGTGTGGTATATATACACGGGCTGAGCGATCTCTGTCCCTTTTTATTTCCCTCGGCACGGTGTTTCGCTCTTTTCGACGGTACCGCGAAAGTCGAGAGCCAGCCCCGAGAAAATGAAAATTCTGCGCGGGGCGGAAATTTCTCCCGCGAGAAAACATTATCGAATATTAGTAGCTAGCCATAGAACGCTGTTTACTTTAGAAATAAATGATACACCTTCGGTATAGCGACCAAAACGATGATAAGTAGACCACGAATTTAATGCATTTATGGGAAATTTAAGTACGCGTATAAAAGTTTTTGAAACGTCAGCAGTGGCTTGCATAAATGGTGCTTGATCGATCATTACTTAATCTCGTGAAAATGTATATAAACTTCGTTCGGTACAAGGATTAATTTTTCTCTCATTAATTCATTCTCATTATTAAATTACGGTCGGTGACTGAGCGAAAAACAGACTAGACTGAAAGTCGAACAACAGAAATAAGAGAGGAAGAAACAAAGGTGATGGTGGCGGATAGCGGAGGTGAGCGCGGTGTTGAGAGGTGAAAAAAGGTGAAAAAGAGAGGAACAAAGAAGGGGAGGAGGAGGAGGAGGAGGAGGAGGATGTATGTGCTCGCAGGCTGCGAACGCGTTGTTCGTGGAGATCGCAGAAGGGGAGGGTGGAAACGGTACCGG